GGGGGGAGTTAAGGGGGGTAGATAGGAAGTATGTGTATTTTTCACTCAATTTTGCTGTGAACCTAAACTGTTCTAGAAAATAAAGTTTATTCATTACAAAAAAAAATAGATATACAGCAAAAGGTTACTGTTGTGAATATACAGAATTCCTACAAACTAGGGGCACCCAGGTAGCTCAGTGGGTTAAACCTCTGCCTTCAGCTCAGGTCATGATCCCAGGGTCCTGGGATCGAGCCCCGCATCGGACTCTCTGCTCAGCAGGAAGTCTGCTTCCCCCCCCCACCTGCCTCTCTGCCTATTTGTGCTCTATCTCTCTATCAAATAAATAAATAAAATCTCTTAAAAGATTAAAAAAAAAAAGAATTCCTACAAACCAATAAGACAAAAGAAAAATAACACAGTAGAAAACCATGCAAAAAAAAAAAAACAAAACCCACAAACAAACAAAAAACTGATAAGAAGCCCAAAGAGCCCATAAGCAAATGAGATTATGCTCAATTTCAGCTGTAACTCATAAAATATAATTTACAACAATTGTAAGATACTGTTACGTACCCATTGTGTCTGTTTCCTAGGACCTAGGTAACAAATTACACAAACTTTGTGGCTTAGAAACCAGATATCTAATTCTCTCACAGTTCTGGAGATCAGAAGCCTGAAATCCAGGTACAACAAGACCACACTCTCTCCCGTGTCTCTAGGGGACAGTCCTGCCTTACCTCTTCCAACTTCTGGGGGCTGGGGCGGGGGGCCTCCTTGGCTCACAGCCATTTCTGCCTCATCTTCCCGTGGCCGCCTCCTCTTCTATCTCAAATCTCTTTCTCTGATGAAAACACTCGTCATAGGATTTAGGGCCTCTGTGGCTAATTCAGGATGATCTTAGAAGGTCACATTCACAGATGCCCAGGGTTAGAGCATAGACATACCTTTGTGGGGGTCAACTGACTACACTCATTGGCCAAAAGCAAAAGTCTAACAATGCCAAGTGTTAGAGAGGATATGGGACAAGGGAAGCTTTTATACAATGTTAGGGGAAATTTCCATTAGTCATTCTCTTTGGAGCCAATATCCTACAAAGGTCGTGTGTAGCAATACCTAGGAAAGTTGAAGATGAAAATACCACCTACACGTCATAATCCCAGATATGCACCTAAGAGAAATACTGAGACACATATCTGATGTTAAAAACGCATTGGCGTTTGTAATCGGCAAAAAGGGCGCACTCTGTAAAGTCCACCATATGATTTTAGAGGGGCAACACTCAGTCCATAGGAGTCTGTCAGATCTCAATGGAAGGTCATGGCCAAACCTCCCAGGCTTCAACCAGAGGCACTGGTTCTGTCCTCAGATTTGTCACATCTGTCTTCCTCCTTCCCCTACTCCCTCCTTCCCCTGGCTGGTGTTACATCATGGAAAACACAGAAATCCCCAGAGGAAATCCGTCCCTCGTTCTCTGCCCCCAACTCTGCCAGCCCTCACCCCACATGCCCTGCCCTTCTTCCTTCCCCCGACAAGGGCTCCCCATCTGGTTCAACCCCATAAACGCCTATATGTACTCCTAGATCTCCCCACTCTGAACCCATCCCACCCCCAGCCACCACCCATTCTTGGCTTCCCTGTAGCAACAGAACTCCTGGAAAGAATCCTCGAGGGGCTCCTGGGTGGCTCGAGCAGTTAAGCACCTGCCTTCCAGTGGCTGTACCCACTCCAAGGTGCTCCTGGTCTGTCCCCCGCCTTCCCCCTGCTCTGTCTCACTGACACGCAGGCAGCCGTGCTGGGCTTCCTCTTGTCCTCAGATGTTTTCTCTTGTATCCCGTCTGCCAGGGATGGGCGGCTCTTCCCTCCCAGCTGCAGGTGGCGGGGAAGGACTCTGCCTGGGAACCGTGGGAGGAAGCACGGCCCTGATCTGGGACTTCTGGCCTCCAGAGCCGTGAGACAATACGTTTCTTTTGTCCTCAGCGACGTTTGTGACCATTTGTTACGGCAGCCACGGGAGACTGGTAAAACGGGGCTGCAAAGACACTTACCATGGTCTTATTTTCTGTTTTGCCAATCCCTGTGGCTGTTGAGCTATTTGGGTGGCTCACTTCTGTTCCACTTCACTTCGTTTTTTAACAGCTTCGTTAAGGTACGTGTCAGCCATCCGAAGTGCGTATCACCCAATGGTGGGGGGCAGGAGGCCCCTTCAGGTGTTACCCCCACCCTCTGCTCTTAGATGGGCCCCGCCAGCCCTGAGGCTCCCTTCCTGGTGTCCCAACCCCACAGCCGTCTCCGGCCCGGGCCCAGACTCAGGCCTGGGGGCTGTGGTTGGCGGCAGTTCCTGCTAGGCTGACTTCGGTCTGGGGCAAGGATGACGTCAGAGCGCCTGGGGGGTTCTGGTGGGTTCTCCCACGCTCTGCCCGGAGCCACTCCTCACAGCCCTCCTCAGCCGGTGGTCTCGGTCGAATTGGACCACACTCAGGGCTGGTGGAAGGACGGGGTCGGACAACCAGTGAGGAAGGGGACAGATCCCGCGCTCGTTCCTGCTTCCCAGAACTCCCTGTGTCCTCAGGAAAGAGCTGAGGCGGTGTCAGTAGCCAACATTTAGGAGAGCTGACTGCGCCAACAGCTGTGACCTGTCTTATCTATTCTGGTTATCTTCCTGCGTGATCCTCTCAAGGACCCTGTCACTCACTGTTGTCACCTAGAGAGGCTCAGGGAGGTTAAGTAACTTGCCCAGGGTCCTGCCAGGTGCCCCGCCCATCCAGGCTTCTGTAGCTGCCATGGCTCTTTCCTCTGCCCCAAGGACGCCCGTTGGACTTGTTAGGAGAGGGGAGATAAAGGACCCCTGTGCCACGGGGACAGAGGGGATGGTGGACATGAAGAATCAATGCAGGGACCTGGGTGGGCCATAAAACGCTGCTGGCTGAGGGCTTCCTGGAGGAGCTAGCATTTGCTGCCAGGGTCCCACTGATACTTTATCCTGTAATCCCCTGGGGGATTTTTCTCCTCAGATAACTTCCTGCCAGCCCCTGTCAGCACCCCCAGAACAGCCTGGAATTGCCAGACCTGTCCTCTGTCCAGCTGCAGCCAATCCCTGACCCTGCCTGGGGAAGGTTTTAGAGCCGTGAAGTAGGAGGCAGCTTCTGCTTCCCCAGGGCCACTGCCCCGTCAGGCATGGGCATGGGGGTCTGGTAGGAGCTGGGCTGGGGTGTGGGGGACACTGGCAGTCAGCAGGGGCAGGTGTGAGACCGGGGATAGGAGCAGAGTCAGTGTCTCTGGAAGCAGAATGTCAGGCAAAGAAGTCAAAAGTGTGAGGAACCCAGGGTCCGAGCCCACACTGGGGTGTGTGGGGCCCGGGAGTCTCCGGAGTGAAACATGGGGCCACAGGGCCAGGGGCTGGGGCCGGGAGCTTGCTCTGCTCAGGGAAGTAGGCACTGTCCTACTCTGGCTATGCCTGGATTTCAGATTCCCGGGCTTCAGTGCCCTCAGAGGAGCCCTCCCTCTGGGCCTGGTTGGGGTGGGTGGGTGGGGACAAACCCCATCCTCCTCAAGGAGCTCCTAGACTGGGAGAGGAGGCAGCATGTGGGCAGACTGGGACCAGCCAGGTGTCACCAAGCCTGTGACAGGGACGGCTGGGGAGTTGGAAGAGGAAAGGGGAAGCCGCTTGGGAGGCGAAGCCAGAGCTGAGTCTTTGGTTTATGGTTGTACAAGCGACACTTATTGTCTATTTCTGCCCCTGAAAGTACTGCCTTCTCACTGTGGAACCTCTGGAAGCCACAGAAGGATGCTCAGAGTCAATCACAAAAGGACGGGGGCTCAGCGCTGGTGGGGCGAGGGGCTGTGGGACACACAAACTGGGACCGAAGCCACCATACAGCAGGTGTGAGGAGGGTAAATCAGGTCCCCCCGGCCCCCAGTAGAGGTCATAATCAGACCAGCTGTCTTTCCTGTGTAGTCTGTGCTCCGTGGTGGGCCCCCACCCACGGACTAAGCCCCAGCTCCCTGTGTGAAGGCTCTGCCTAGCTGTGTCTCGTTTCTCAGAACCTGACCACATGCCAGTCCCTCTGCCCAGGGCCCCGGCCCTCCCGGAGCCTGCCCCTGCCCCTCTCCCTCCCGCTGCAGCTGGAACCCGCCGGTGGGGCCTCTCGCTGGCCTCAAACAGCCTGTGGCCCACTGATCCCTGTTTGTGAACTGTTTTCAGTGTCATTGTTCTCCATGTTTAGACTGTGAGGTGCACGAGGACTGGCCAAGTCAGCTGTGTCACCTACACAGCCCAGACCCAGCCAAAGCCTGCCCTGGTAAACAGCTAGATCAGTAAGCCCCCAGTCCTTGCCCCCTTGCAGGGGAGCAGGCAAGGAGGTGCCTTGGATGAGAAGCAGGAACCAGCAGGCCAGCTCCAACCCCTCCGGGCACACCCCCACCCAGCTTGGCTTCCCCATTTATTGGGCAAGAGTGAGGCTGGGCCTGGGGATCTGGCCATGGACAAGCTGAGTCTGAGGTTGTCACCAGACACTCCCAAGTGTGCACAGAGAGGACACACCTCACCTGGGAAAGGTAAGACTGAGCTGTGGCCAGGGACTGGGGATGGACACCGGGACACCTGGGTGCCATAACTCAGCCCAGACTCTCCCACTCTGGGCTTTAATTCAGGGCCGAGTCCTTTGGTCCTAGAGAGGTACTAGGGAGCCACTGACAAAGTTAGAGCCGGGCTGATAGGCCCGGGAGCTGTTTGAAGCCCAGGCAGAGAGCTGGGTGAGGGAGGGTGATGCTGGCAATCCAGGCAGAGCTCCGGGTCCGAGCTCCGGGGGCTCCAAGTCAACCCTGCCAGCGGCCCACTCAGGCCTCACTCCTCCAGCAAGTTCTCAGAAGGAAATGGTGGGACACATGTTGGAGGGGTGCGGGGCCAGCCCCGGCCCTCTGGGGTTACACGGGTCCTTGTGGGAGTGTCCATGAGCCCATAGAGGTACAGCCAGGGGCACAGGGAGGATGCCCGAGAAGGTGGGGAGCCCCGGCCCACGCTGTCCCCTCCCTGCAGGATGGACCCCTACGCGGACACCCTGCTGCGGCTGCGGGAGGCCTTCAGCACAGGGCGGACGAGGCCGGCCGAGTTCAGGGTGGCGCAGCTCAAGGGCCTCCACCGCTTCCTGCAGGAAAACAAGCAGCTTTTGCAGGAGGTGTTGGTGCAGGACCTGCACAAGGTGGGCGGGGGTGGCGGTGGAGGCCCCGGGGGTGACTAGTTGTACCCCCGGTTCATTCCTGTTTATTTCACAGACATTTTCCTGGCAAACAATGTGTGACAGCGTTAAGTCATCCAAACCCGTGAACCACGGCTCCCACGTTACTGAGGGGGAAACTGAGGTGCATGGGGGTTAAGGCGTTGGAACTTGGGCCACCTACCAGGGGGCCCCGTGCTCCTCACCGCTCGCTGTGCTCACTGTGTGGCCTCTGGGGGCTCTCTCCATGACCTCAGGGTTGGAACTCTTGGGGATCCCAAGCACTAGGTCCCCTCCCTCCCCTGAATTCTCTCTCCACTGCAGTCAGTCTTTGACGCAGACGTATCCGAGCTCATCATATGCCAGAACGAGGTCAACCTGGCGCTCCAGAAGCTACACACCTGGATGAAGGATGAGTACGTGGCCAAGAGCCTGGTGAGCCACTGCCTGCAGCGGGTGGGGGTGGGGGTTGGGGGGCAGGGCTCCAGCCCAGGCCTCTTCACCACCCAACACCCCCTCCCCCAGCCTCTAACTTCCTCGGGCTCCTCATGAGGACTCCACTCCACAGGCCCCTCAAAGACTCTGGGGGGCGGCTTTGGGGTGATCCACAGTCGCGCCTTACTACGTGTCCTGAACCAAAGGTCTTGTTCATCCGGAAGAAGCCCTTGGGCCTGGTGCTCATCATCGCCCCCTGGAACTACCCGATGCACCTGACCCTGGTGCCGCTAGTGGGCGCCCTCGCCGCAGGTGGGGAGCCCGCCCAGAAGCCCTTCCCAAAGGAGGCCCCCAGAATTCCATTTATGTGGTACCCCCGGCCTCTGGCATGTTCCTTGCGTCTCTGCCCTGGGTGGGTGTGGGGCACTGGCCTTTCCCCACGACGTCCCCATCTGTCCCTGAAGGGAACTGCGTGGTGCTGAAGCCATCAGAATTAAGTAAGGGCACAGAGAAGGTCTTGGCTGAGGTCCTGCCTCGATACCTGGACCAGGTGAGGATGGCCCCACCCAGCCCCCGGGGTCGCACACCCCTATCCCTGTCAGCTCTGGAGGGCCAGCTGTCCCCAGAGCCTTGAACCACCTGCCCTGCCTTGGCAGAGCTGCTTTGCCGTGGTGCTGGGAGGGCCCAAGGAGACCGGGCAGCTGCTGGAGCACAAGTTCGACCACATCTTCTTCACTGGTGAGAGTGGCCTCAACCAGAGTCCTGGTTGGGGTGGGGTGGGGAGAGAAAGCTGTGGAAGGATGAGGTGGTGGCCAGCAGCGGCGAGCATCCCAGATGGCAATCAGCCCCTGGGCCTTAGAGGGTGGAACCCTGGGGCAGCAGGGCCTGGGGCAGATCCCAGCAGACAAGGTACAATCGGCCAGAAGAAGTAGTGCCTGGACCATCTAACCAAGGCCGGTTGAGCATGGGGGACGGTTAACTCCCATATCCCCAGGGAGCCCCCGTGTGGGCAGGATCGTCATGGCTGCCGCCGCCAAGCACCTGACGCCCGTCACGCTGGAGCTGGGGGGCAAGAACCCCTGCTACGTGGACGACGACTGCGACCCCCAGACCGTGGCCAACCGCGTGGCCTTTTTCCGCTACTTCAACAGCGGCCAGACCTGCGTGGCCCCCGACTACGTCCTGTGCAGCCCGGACACGCAGGAGCGGCTGCTGCCCGCCCTGCAGAGCGCCATCACCCGCTTCTACGGCGACGACCCCCAGGGCTCCCCGAGCCTGGGCCGCATCATCAGCGACAAGCACTTCCAGCGCCTCCGGGGCCTGCTGGGCTGCGGCCGCGTGGCCATCGGCGGCCAGAGCGACGAGAGCGAGCGCTACATCGGTGAGCGCGCCCTGTCGCCGCGCGGTCGCCGGGCGGAGGCCCTTCCGGGACGCAGGTCCCGCGTGGGCCGCGAGCCTGGGCCGCGAGCCCGGGCCCCGCCCTCCACACCCAGTAGCCCCGCCCCGCCCCCTCCTCGCCCCGCCCCGCCCCCTCCTCACCCCGCCCCACCTCCGGGCTCCCAGGGCCGCGCGATCTAGGCCAGCCTGGACTCCTGCCTCCCCGACCTCTGCTCCACCTCGGCCCCCGCCCGGGCTGGACAACCCCTCGCCGTCCTTCCTGGGGGCCGCGGGGACGCTCTCTTCCCCGGAAGGTCCCTGAGCCCCGCCCGTGGCCCACCCCCGTCCCGCCCCAGCGCTGAGGGGTCCCTTGTGCCCGCAGCCCCCACGGTGCTGGTGGACGTGCAGGAGACGGAGCCGGTGATGCGGGAGGAGATCTTCGGCCCCATCCTGCCCATCATGAACGTGAGGAGCCTGGACGAGGCCATCGACTTCATCAACCGTGGGGAGAAGCCCCTGGCCGTGTATGCCTTCTCCAACAGCAACCAGGTGGGGGGCCCGGGCAGGGCTGGGACAAGGGAGGGGCTGAAAAAGGTGCAGACAGGCGACCTTCCCCTTGATAGCCCATGGTGGGAGGGTTAGGGGCAACATCTCCCGGACAGAGATTGCCTGCACAAGGACTCCTGGCAGAGGGGTTTTGGGCAAGACCACAGACTCAGATGTGTGGCTGGCCCGCTGTCTGCCCTGGCTCCGGCAGCTTCCACCAAGAGAAGAGGTGCCTTTTTCTACCCAGAGAGCCCCGTCTTCCTAAACCATGCAAACGCTCTGAATGGGCCAGTAGAGGCCCTGCAGAGGAGAGGGGGCAGAGCAAAGCTCTCGAGGGAGACATCTCAGTAGAAGATGGGAACATGGGAGACTCTCTGCTCCCCGTGGAATGGTGGGGGACTCAAGTCCTCTTTCCTGATGACGAGCCCACTACTGGGCCTCTCCCATCTACCCCCAGGTAGTGACCCAGATGCTGGATCCGACCAGCAGCGGCATTTTCCGAGGCAACCAAGATTTCTCTCACATGTCTCCGTCTTCCCTGCCGCTGGGGGGCGTCGGTGAGCCCTGCCCTCGTCCGCTCCCAGCCCGCCCCCACCACCCCACCCCGGGAAGACCAGGTTGGAACTCCCAACCTGGGAGGGTCCGGTTTTGCCTTCACTCTCTGTTCTACCTTGATCCAGGCCCTGCGACTCTCAAGGGCTCAGTTTCCCTATCTGCAAAATAGCTCTTGGAGTGGCTTGACTTGCCCTGAGTGCCATGCCAGCTGTGGGCTCCTGCTTGGGGAGGGGGCTGCTGCTAAGGCTGGCTGGGCTGCCAGCCTCAGGCGCTCACCTCTGTGCCCATGCAGGTAACAGTGGCATGGGAAGATACCATGGCAAGTTCTCCTTCGACACCTTCTCCCACCACCGCGCCAGTCTGCTCTCCCCCTCGGGCCTGGAGAAGCTCCATGAATTCCGCTACCCGCCCTACACCAACCTGAGGCAGCAGCCGATAGGCTGGGCCTTAGGCTCCCACAGCTGCACCCTTCTGTGAGCTCCCCGTGGGCCACCCCTCTGTCCTGCTACTGCCCATGTGTTCAGTGGTCCCTGAAAGGTGGGGGTCCTGTCCCGGAGTGCAGGGATCCCATTCTTAGGGTTTTGTCTCAACAGACCCCTGGCTGGGCAGGACGTCGGGACCACAGGACCCACCATTTTCAGGGCCAAGTCCTGTCTGAAACCCCCCTGACAGACTCATTGACCTGACCCTCTGCTTGGATATGTCTGTGTATTTACAGATATATGGATATCTGTAATATGGATATGTTTGTGTTTACAAAGGACACCTTTGTATCAGATCTATAATTAGGTTCCCAGAATATAGAGCCATGTCTTTTCTTTTTTTAATAGAAAGGGAGGGGATGGGGAGCCATGGTGGGGAGGCAGCCCATGGGTTGGGGCTGCTGGGGAGGGGTCCTCAGGTCAGCCTTGGGCCAAAACCTGCTGCCATGGCCACCTCCAACTCCCCAACCTGGGCTATTGCCAGGAGGACCCCCAAAATACAGAGCGATTTCTAACAGCTCCATTCACACCTGGTTTGGGGAGCTGGTTTGTGTGACCTGAAGTCATCCGGTCTTGAGTCCAGATCTGACTAATGGCTGATGTCACCCTGACGTGTGTGTGTCCCTGGCAAGGACTCCGACACTCTGGGTGCTTGGAATCAATAGGAGAGAGTGCAAAGTTTGATTAGTCATGTCTGCTAGGGGCACAGGATTGGGTCGTGCTCATTTTGGACGCGTCTGTCATCCTGCCGTGCACTCCCAGAAGGAGGTCGTGGTGGGCAGAGTTTAAATCTAGCCACTTTCTCTGACATATGGGGAAACTGAAATCTAGAGACAGGACAGGGTTGAACTGAGTTTATACAGGAAAGCAGAGCAAAGCTGAATGATGAGGGGGTTTTCTGAGAAATAGGGAGGTGGGGGGAATCAGTTAGCAGAACAGATCTAGTCCACTGCTCTTTCCCTAGTCCTCGCCCTGAGAGCCCACATCCAACCTCCCCTACTCTTTCTCAAGGAAGGTACTTAACAGGGACTTGTTGAGAGGTATGAACACACGATATTCTATCTGGGTAATGGCACAGGTGCTCCTTAGAAGACAGTCCTAAGGTCTAAGGCGATTTTATTTCAGAGGATAGCTCTTCTCAGCAGAGACATGTCGAGGAAGGACAGGCTTTATTGGTTATCACAGGGCTTGCTGATTGAATTTGGTAGAGGTTTCCATGTGTGCTACAATGTCCTCTAAATCAATGAAGGGAACAGAGACAGAAGCCAAGTGATCGGACTAGTGGAAAATAGAATGTGTCCACGGGCCCAGAGGAGAGGGAGGTTGGCAGCTTTAGAAATTTGACCTGGTTGTGCGTTCCATACCTGCTGCTGGGGAAGGCAGCTCTGTCAGGCATGGGGGAGGGACTGGGGGGCGGCTGTGTGAGACCAGGACCCCACCTTCTCCCCCCCCCTTTTTAAAAAAGATTTTATTTGTTTGACAGACAGAGATCACAAGTAGGCAGAGAGGCAGGCGGAGAGGAAGGGGGAAGCAGTCTCCCTGCTGAGCAGAGAGGGCTGGATCCCAGGACCCTGGGATCATGACCTGAGCTGAGGGCAGAGGCTTTAACCCACTGAGCCACCCAGGTGCCCCCCTTCTCCCCTTTCTCAGTGGCGTGCATTCCGCCGGTCCGGCTTGCAGCAGGACAACGGGATCCCGATGGAGACTGAGTGTTCCCTCTCACCCAGGGTGTGAACTAACTCACCCACTATAAATTCCGGTAGATAATGCCTCTTCCGTGCGCGGTGGGGCGGGCTGTTCTCAGCAGCAGGGCATGTAGATCTTCGGTGAGAGTCGGCATATTGGGTGCCTCATTTCTATACCTTCACAATATTGGGTGCCTCATCAGGAGTCCCCAGTCTGGCGTATGGGGCGACAGGCCCTGCTCGTTGATTATTTAACTGCATCAGAACCTGGGACAGTACTTTGGTTCACCCAACCGAGGAGGTTTTCACCTGTTAATAATTTAATTTGCTGCTTTAAGGGAGCCACTGCCCCCCACTTTGGGCTGGAGGTACATCTGTCCACACCTTTGTCCATGAGGCACTGGGCAGTGCCTTCTGCCCCCCAGACACCCTGGGGTCACAGTGTTTGCACGTGGGCTGATTTAGGCCAGTGCTGAGTGCCAGTCCATGACCCTTTCTCTGCAAGCCTTGTGTTCCTATTTCCAGTCCTTTGCAGAAAAGCTCCCCCTGTGCCTTAGGGGTCCTGTGAACGAGTCATTACGAGGCGACGGGGTCAGGGTCTAAGGAGATCCTGCCCAGAACCCAAGCACTCATTGTCATCCTTATTATTAAGCATCACTGTTAACTTTTATTGAGGCACAACACTCAGTAAAGTGCATGAATCTTTAAAAAAAAACATTGAGGGGCATCTGGGTGACTCAGTCTGTTGAGCCTCTGCCTTCGGCTCAGGTCATGATCCCAGGGTCTTAGGATCGAGTCCCGAGTTGGGCTTCCTGCTCAGCGGGGAGCCTGCTTCTCCCTCTCCCTCTGCTGCTCCCCCCTACTTGTGCTCTCTTTCTCTCTCTCTCTCTGTGTGTCTGTAAAATAAATACATAAATCTTAAGAAGCTGCTAAGCCTTTAAAAAAATTTTTTTTAATTGAATTTGCTGCTTTAATACTCAACCCAGCTGCTTGCAGGTGAGGGGGGACAACACCTCCATCTGGTGTCACACTTTATGGTCTGGCAAACCGTGACCTCTGACACGTGGCCCCCACTGACTGGCTAGCCGATGAGGCCGTCTGTACATGGTGATCACATCCCCTAGTTCCCTGGTCTGCGCGGCGACGAGGGTTGGCTTGGGTCGGGCCCCGCACGGTGGCATATGTAGAGGTTCGGATCTGCCGGGCCCAATCAGCCAGCCGCTCCGTGGTGGGGAACTCTGGTGGATGGCCCCGGATTTCTGGCAACTGTCTTGGGCGTTTAGAGCACCAGGTCACTGTAGGTCAAGGGCAGTCAGGCACCCTGGACAGCATGCCGTGCTGTGGGGGCACTGTGGTGCCCACTCTCCCTGTGCCCCCGATCTGCCCAGCCGGCCCCTGAGTCCGGGGCTAGGGCTCCCCTGTGAGCCGGGGCATCGACTTCCTGACTGCGAGCGCTTGTGCCTTATGCACCAAGTTAGAAAGGTTGGTGAGAGGAGAGGGCGGCCTCAGGTTCCTGCAGGTGAACCCAGATGTCTTTCCACATGTCCTGCCCCCGAAAAGCTTTATTCCTGATCTTCCTCCCAGCCTCCGCTTCCCATGGTCAGAGCCTTGAGGTTAATCCCTTTTGAATAAGCCACTGTCGGTGCCAAGGGTTAAAGGCCACGGCTCCTGAGTAATCACCGGCCTGACTGCTTTGAGCTCCGCCTGCTGGCTGCTGGCTGCTGGGGGCGGCTGCGTGGGAGGGAGGCTCTACCTGGGGGAACCAGGGGCTCTCCGGGGGCTCTGCGTTTCCGCCCTCTTCCAAAGCTGAGACCAAAACCCTTGGCGCATTGTCCCTTTCTGTTGACTCTTACCTTCCAGATGCACAGACACATCTAAGTCAAACCAAGCCCTGCTTGGGAGATGCCCAGAGCTATCATCTGCTTTCCCAGTAGTTTTGGCTTCTCAAGGTGGGCTTGCTGCTCCAACCCCCAGTCCCACAGGTGCCTTTTCTTTACCAGGTGACGTAAGGGACAGTGGCCCCGCTGGCCTGCCCCCACCCCACACGCTGTGATCTCAGACCCACCTTCACCAGCACCTTCCTCACCTGGAGTGTCCTCGCCGTGGGGCAGCCCTGCCTGGGACTGAAGTCCCCGCCTCAGACTGTCCTCTTCAGCCACCAGCAGGTCACACCCCCTGCCGAGATACTCATTCTTTGCTGTCCAGTTCAGAAAAATCCAGACTGATGTCACCTTTCCAGGAAGCCCGTTCTGACCTCAGGCTGGTCCTGAGTTCCCCAGACCCAAGGTTCACCTCAGCTCAGCCCCGCAGGTTCTGTTTGCCTGTCTCGCTCCCTAACCGCTGTTCACTTCCTCTGGTAGATACTCGCTGAGCCCCACCTCTGAGCCGGCTTTGTCCTGCTCTGATGAAAAAATGGGGAATAAGACTGAGGTGCTGTCCCCAAGCTCCTGGGGGAGACAGAGGAAGAACCCGGCAACCACAACCCAGGCGGCTAAATGGAGGGGTGCGGGCAACATGAAGCATCTAATGTGGCCAGAGGTAGCCAAGGAGGACTTCCTGGACGTGGAGCGGCCACCCCCTAATTCACCTGCTTGGAGGCGCAAACATGGAACCCTCTCTCTGTTCTCCAGTTAATTCCTAGAGCATCCCTCTGCACATTACGGAATCCAGCGAGGCTGTCTGCAGGCCTCCCCTTCCCGAATGTTGCAGGAATCCTTCTACATCCGGCCGGGAGATCTAGAAGGATGGGCAGCCCACCCGCTGCTGCTCAGCCTGCTGCCACGTGGTGTCGCTATCGAACAAGGTGCATGTCCTCCGTGGCCCTTGTGTCCTGCAGTGTCCACGCCGCAGGGCTGCCCACGCCGGGTGCCCAGCCCTAGCCTCCTTAGTGACGGATCCCCATGACTCCCAACCGACCTTCAGAGGTGGGAGAGGCCTCAGAGGGGTCCACACGCTCTGGTGGCTCAGCCCTCCCCTACCCATCGCAGAGATCTGCCTCTGAGCCCAGGGAGCTGCCACAGCCCCCTCCTTCTAAGACAAGTCCTTGTGGCCCACGGGGTCCTCTCCTGCTGATGGAACTCGGGTGGGGACCCCCTCAGTAAGAGAAATGACCAGACGGCCTCCTTCCTTCATCAGCCCTGTCCATCCCTGCAGAAGGGACAGCCAGGTGGGGTCTGGCTTTCCAACCCCAGTGGGCTCCCTCCCATGGGAATGGTCCAGCCTGGGAGTGACCCAGCAAAAGGCAAAGATACATTGAAAAGACTTTGACATTCCAAAAATTGTTTAAAGAACCAAAGTAACCAAAGAACTT